AAGAAAACATAACGAAAAAAAAGGTAAAATCAGTAATACGAACATAATAAAAAATGTATAATTTAAATGAAGACTGCATGTTGTTCAGAACTGGTTCATAGTTCTTGAGGTAAGTACAGATTTAGCTAGGATTTTCGATTTTGTTTATCATCATCGATCTTGAAAATCTATGAAATAATATATTCCTTTACCAATAATGGAAGTTTTCTCTTATAGTTGTGCAACCAGTGACTGACAACTAGACTAACAACAGCTGCTTCTGTCTATGACAAACTGAAAACACAAGTGACGTACGCGTGCGCGGGAACTCCCACTCTTGTGATAAATGTACGTTATTTGAGGTGTTTCCGAAGATTTTGCAAGAGACGACCACGTGTGACATCGTTCTACAGATTGTCAGAGACTAAAATCTGTTTTTAATTGGTGTTAATTTCGGTGGTGCTAAGTTAGAGAATATACAAGGAAGAAGCACTGAGATATATACATTCTAGATAATGATGACATTTGTATGGTTAACATTTGTTGCCGCTATTTTTGTTGTTCAATCTGTGGACCAACAAAAGTTCAGTCTTCGAGATCGTCGATCAGAGGTACATTCTACACTGTCGCTTGCTCAGCGTTACAGAGGTCGATGTAACCGAAAACCACTGAGTTACAACACCCCGAAAACCCCTGGAGACAATGGATTTCAATTAAAGATCTCTGGAGGCTCAGAGAAGTACGTCCCAGGAGAGACTTATACAAGTAAGTAGGCCTCACTCTGATGTAGATAATCCAGTTTACTTTATACATTTGCATTAATAGCGTCTTTTTGTATTTGACCATAAATAATTTAACGGTTACATGTAAATGCTATACATGATGTAGTATGTACTATGATTTTTGTCTGATGTTACACTCTGTAGTATATAATGTAATATTTTTCCTTTATGAAACTGGTAAGGCTTATTTATATTTTCTATTTAGTATTTAAAAGTTTTGTTTCTGGATATGTTCATTCCAGAAAAACTTCTTCATATATATTGAATGAACAGATATTTGGAAAGCAAATTTTCGTAGATAATATTAATTTACAGAAACTAGTACTAGAACAAAACTTTGTGACGCAGTGTAGTAACATATTATTCACTGAAATATTCAATTTCCAGAAGACTAACAAAACATCTATGAAATATGTAACAAAACACAGAGAAAAAAACATAAAACTGAACAAAACTAACACGGTTTATTAAATCACTGTGTGGGTATTTAAAGTTTATTTATTAATTGTTAATACCAACGCAGGGATCGAACCCCAACATTTATATTTATATTTATACATACCATTACAAGTTGAAAACTTTGTATCAAAATAACTGTCAGTCTGCTAAAATACATTTACTTAAATACAGAAATACAAAACAATAAATAACAGCAACAAATAATATAAGCTGTTAGTACTTTAAGATCAATACAGTAATATCAAATAACGAACATACAACATCTAACATCAGTAATAAACTTATACTCATCAATTATATAACTATGTTCACATATGGAAACGTCATAGATAATACTGCTCTTTAGTGTTAAGCATAGACTTCGAACGCCGCAACTTTGTGTTCAATATAATTCCGTCAACATCATGTTCTAAGATCAATAGTTCATTTACACGTACCAATTATATAACTATATTCACATACGGAAAAATCATAGATATTTTTAATGTCAAGGTTGTATTTCAAACGCTGTAAATTCGTGTTAAACATAATTCAGACTACAATGCTGTTGCTGTTTCAGCATTATCGCTTTCTTTATTACTCCAGTATCTACAATATAAGTCAATGAAGGAAATTACCAGTGTTCCAAACATGAGTATAAAACTGACTAACAACACAACTATGATGATCTATTACTTTATTTAAGAGTGGATTCCCGGGGATGAAGTGTCTGCTTTCAAGACTTGTTTACATATAAGATTGTTCAATTCTTGAACAGTTCTTATGAACGATTCGTTTTTTTATTTTTTTTCAAAATAGTTTACAATATTTAGGAAATGATGATGTCACGGTGTGATGAAATCACTGGCTATCATCATATTCTTTCATGCCCAAAAGTTTTGTAGTATTCACTTGATAAATGTCTGTGGCCAATGTTCTTCCTCCTTACTATGTGGAGCGGAATCTTAGTATCATGGAAGTTGCTGTACCCTTTTTCAATGTAAGCAGTTATTTTGTCAGTCTATACATTTCAAGTTGATATTAATTTTCTTTTTTCATAAGCACACATTCATCGTTTGAATGGCACAAAGACCTAGTTTGGGCATCACAGAATCATTCATCGTGGATCAAAAACCTTGTTTGGATATCACAGTTTCCTAGTTTGCAAATCACAGTTTCCTTGTTTAAACATCAAAAAGCCCTAGATCTCAAATCATAGCATCTTTATTTAGACATCACAGAATAATATTCGGAGCATCACAGTATTCTAGTTACGGTATCACATCACCTACTTTGGACATAAGTGTAAACAAAAAACAAAAAAAAAAAAAGAACGCCAGTTTCTTAAAGCTTACGTACAGAAATGAGATGTTATCGATTTCAAGACTAAGCGGATGCTGTGTTTAGAAGATTCTAGAACAACATCAGTTACTTAAAAAAGACTACAGGCCGATTCTGATCGTAAAGTATTTTGACTAAATCCCGAATAGTTTATAGAATAAACATAAGAGTGATATTCAATAAAACTTAATTTAAGAAACTGTCAAAAAATTATATATTTATTACGAGTGTCCGTAAAACGTGTTGATACGTTAACTGTTAAATAATAAATCACGTGTTGCTTTAACGAAGGTTTACTCACATGTGTTTGATGTACATGTAATTATAACAATGCTTTTCATCATTTCTTGGTTGAGATTTTTTTACGTAAATATACTTCACATCTTAAATACAATATAAATATTTCTGTCAGTACTTTAATAGATAGTAATAATAATGACGTAACTAAAACGTTCTGCTTTTAGATTTAAAAAGAATTATTTACGAAGAAATAATTACTAATCTGGGGTGCTCGAAGATTAAACAATCCTCCTTCACCCTGCGCGTGGCCTAGAAATATAGGCTTAACTTGAGAAAACAGGAAATTAATGCAGACGAGGTATGTAAATGTAAAAAGGTAAACGTGAGAGTAACGGTAAACAATAAAAGTGAAGAGCAAAATAGACTAAACTAATCTAAGCGGCCGATATCGGACAGGTGGTCCATCAGGGCGGCGGGGATCTAAAAATCCTATGCCGAGAATTTAATGTGGGGGAAACGGGAGTACCCCGAGAAAACCCACTTCCACTGGTAGCGACCAATTCGTTACCAGTACCCGGTTAGCGAGATAGAAAAAACGTCCCGATGCACTTCTTTTCCAGATTTAAGCATTTATTTCATTCATTTTATTTTTGGAATACATCATTCCCAGGTATACGTGACTTGATTCTTGTTATGTAGCTACAAAATTTACATATATACGAAGAAAAACATGTCTCACTCTTTTACTTTTATCCTTTTTCTTGTTTT